AAAAGTATGTAACGGGCAGAAGGAGGCGTGGCAGACCCCACAAAGTATATATATTCTTGATCAGCGNGTGCTTTGGAATGTACACACATATTTACCATATGATTACACTCTGAAAGTTTCATTAAGATCATATGTTTACAAAAGAAATTATTCGACAAATAAATTCTCATAATATTGCCCACACTGCAGCGCAGCCCAAGCGCAGTCGCTGCTTACTGCGCAGTTAGCAGAGCGCAGGCTTATGCGTGCGTGTGGATGCATCTGTATGTATGTGTGCATAAAAGAAGTGCAGAATGATTAGAATATCAGATTAGAGGGTTCAGGGTATCTCCTAGTCGAGCAGTCTCGACTAGAGCTTTCTTACTTGTTTATTATTATTATTTTTTGGGGTTTTATGCGGCTTTTTTGTTCCACTTTTTTCCGTTCTCTTTTGTTGGGGGTTCAATTTGTTTACTTTAATTTACATTTTGTGTTTTGTTTCTTTGCATTTTGCGTTCAGGGAGTATGTTGGAGCTGTTGTATCTGCGCTGATTATTGCAGAAAGTTTTTTACGCTTTGCGTTATTTTGTTGTTTCCGCTTTTTTTCATTTTTTATTATTTTTTTTTTAGAAGCCTATGCAAATGGCGCTTCGAGCCTCTTTAATGAACTACTTTTTGTGGCCGCCCATTCATTCAATTGAATTGTGCGTGTGCCACGCCTGCTGCTGCCGCCTGCTGCTGCCGCTTGCTGCTGGTGGTGCTGGTGGTGTTGCCAAACCCTTAGTTCCCATGCGCATAATTTATGTGCCCGCTTCTCAGTGGCTCATTTGCCAAAGTTTCTAAACATATATATATGTATATATATACTATATATGTGTGTATATATTTATACAGGATTCGCTCGATTCGTTTCTGTGTGCGTCAGTTTGATAAATGATATCAATTTCTTATGAACTCTCTAGCACATAAGTGGTATAGTATTTTCTATAGGCGTCAAAGTTTGTTTTGCCAATTTTTGTGTTCCTTTTTCGTTTCAACCTCGTTTTGTTTCACTTGCTTTGCGTGAGTGTGTCTGTGTGTGTGTGTTTGTGTGTATTTGTTTTGTTGAGTTGTGTTGTGTTGTGTCAGTTGCTCAACTGTCGTCATTTTGCCAATTTGACACTTTTAACGTCTGCGCACTTGAAATTCAAATGCTCCCCGGCGCTTGACAGTCGAGCATATGAATTTTTAATGGGGCATGTGGCAGGCTTTTAGGCAGGCACGCGAAATCTACATATGGTTAAGCTTATCAATATGCTAATCGCTCTACGTCTCTGTGTGGGTGAGTGTGAGCATGTTTGGCATAATGCGGTATGCTAAATAACATACTCAGGTGAATTTTGCTTGTTAGCAGGTATTTGCCAACAGCGCTCGTCTCCATTTCCTCAGGCATCACAAAGGGTTTTTTGCTAATGGCAAATGCTGGCTATAAATAGTATGAGTTAAATTATTAATGCGCACATTTGGCTCAAAGTTTATATTTGGAAAAAATTGTCGTTTTCCTAGACGTCACATTAAAGAGCTGTGGCTATGCCACGTGGAAGCCGAATACAAAAATAAACCAAATTTAATAGGCTTCGCCTCTAAGTCCTTCAAAAAGTCTCTTTAATGATTTAAGTTTTGTAATCCTAGGTGCTTGGATTATCGAAAGTTTCTTCATTTTATAGTACAAAAATTTAGAATTAAATATTTTAAGTTACCTTTGGCATCATCTAAAATATTTTTAACTCTAACTAATTAGGGAATTCTAACAAATTGTATTATTTATATTTTTATTCATATTAATTAAATATTGCTTATTTTTATAAGCATTTCTCCAATTTGTAACCAGTCAGAGCAGTTCACTCCTTATCTTGCCTAATTTTATTGACTCCATGATACAATGATAATTGTGTTAAGTGCTTCGTAGCTCTTCTCCTAACTATAAATATTTGGACTATCAGTTTCAGAAATGCTTGCGGCCTTGTGCCTAATCAAATCAGCCATTTGAGCTGCCAACTTTTACCAATTTCACATAAACTAGCATWTCTAACGAGCCAAAAATTAAGAAAACACAAAAAGAGTAAAAACCAGAGACAGCGAAAGAGAGAGAGAGAGAACGGTAGAGAATGAGAACATTTTAATGTGTGGCCAGTTGGCTTGCAGGCCTTTCGGCTATTAGCCCAGAAAAACACACATAAAGAGCTGTGCAACACATTAGCCAGAAACGAGACTCGACGCAGACCCACCAAGTAGCCAGACGACTGACGACAAAAGCAACCAACAAAAAAAAAAAAAACTACCAAAAATTGCCGCCAGCTAAAACAGTTCCCAGACTGGCAGCGGCAGCGGCATGGGCAGCGAACTAGAAAAACTTTTTGGACGCTAATCTATAATGCTGTCAGCCATTAAACATTAAACAACTGAAAAACCAAATTTGTAACTCATTAAAAAACAGAAGAAAAAAAGAAATATTTGTATGTGGAAATGAAACTAGCTGAAAGTGAGTCGAAGTCGAAGTGACTGATAAATGCCACTTGGCTGCTCTCGCGGCTGTCTCATTTGGGCTGCCAAATAATATTTAATTATAAACAAATAAACGCGAAACGTCGAACAACTTTTGAGTGCCCGAGGCAGCTCAATGGGGTCGTATCTAGACATTTTTTATTTTTTTTTCTGGTGCTTTGTTGTTTTGGGACTGCTCTGCCTCGTAAAAGGTGCAGAGTGATTAATTATATGCCAGTGGAATTAAATCAAATATTTGAGTTGACACACACAGAGAGAGAAAGATAGATAGACAGAGAGCGAGAGAGAGAGAGGGAGAGACAGAGAGAGATGAACGGCAAAACGAATGGGCTTTTGGGTCTGGGTTCGCTACGGCTTATCTGTCTATATGAAATCACGAAATGCAAATAAAAATGACTTCGAAATGCCATAATAATTTTCCGAAGCGTGCATGAAAAATTGAAAAACCAACGAACAGAGTAGCTAGCACCGTCCGAAAGATAACAAAAATTCTCAACCTTTTCCGCTGTTAGATCAACCAAGCAAGCAGACAGTATGGGTTAGGACGACCGAGAGGTAGGCAGGCAGCCAGGCAAGCCATCATGACAAAGTACAAACGAAAAAGTAAAGAAAAAAAAAAAAAAAAATTGAAAAGGAAGAAAACATTAGCATATATCAATGCCAAATGCAAATAAATCATCAATAACATTTCTTTTCCACTTATGCACCACTTACAGATACTTAACCGCGAAGACAAAGACCGTGGATCGGCTGCAGCTGCATTTGTATATATATGCATATATAAATATACATATACATATATATATACAAGTTTATCATCATTTTGGGAGACGCAGGAGCTGGAAGAGAGCGGCAGCATTTGGAGCGTTGCCTTTTGCATAAATTGACGCCAGGCGGGATAAGCCGAATAAGTTGAGCAGCCGTCAGCTGGTGGCTGAGGGGGGCGTGAGCGAACGCAACGCCGAAATGGAAAGGCAAACATAAAGCAATTTTATGCGTTTTTAAAATGCGTCAATTGACTGAGACAACAAAAGCGCGCGCGAGCGTCGACTGCTGTTAAATTCAAGAGAATCGCATGTGAGCACGTTTCCCCTGGCAGGAAAAAGGGCGACGCACAAATCAAATACGACGCCGTATAAGCATATCGAATAGGAGCAACCGCAGGACCAAGACGCACCGAGACGTGGCTGATAAGACGCACGAGGCGAGGAGCGAACGGCAGAGGACGCTTGATGGTTTGTTGACGACCAACAAAAAGTTGTTGAGCGTGTAAACATTGGCAGCATAAAAAGGAAAAAGGGAAAAGCGAAAAGCAATAGGGAAAAGGGAAATGCCGAGGCAAAGCGGGCATCAGGAGCAGCAGCAGCAACAGCAACAAGAAGCAGCGAGCCACATTTATAAATGCTCTACAGTTACAAATTGTAGCCACAGCTGTGCGTGCGTATGAGAGTGTGCGTATGTGTGTGTATGTATGTGTGTAGCACATGTGCTGTAAACCATTTATAAATGTAACAAAAAAGCAGACAAAGCCAGTTGGGCGCAAGTGCAATGCATAAATATAAACAAAAAGATACAAGTTGAAGAAGGAGCTAAACAAGCAACAACAATAACAACAACAACAACAACAATAACAACAGCACCGTCAGGGGTAGCAGTGCGAGCTATAAACAAAACGAAGAAAAAAATCAATAATTTAAAGCGCCAGCGAATTACAATTGTATCTGTGAGATACAATTTAACAGAGACGTGAATTCCAGTTCAAAAAAAAAAAAAATAATAATAAAAAAAAAAAATAAAAATGCAATTTCTGCTTTTTTATCTATGAGCTACATTAGCGCTGTGGGTGTGTCGCGAGTGTTAACAAAAAAATAAAATACAATACGTGGCGTGCAGTGCATAAAATCGTGAATTTATATCTCTCAGCAAATGCAATTTGCAGGCGTAGATACAAATGTATCTACAAGCTGCAGTTGTGACAAGTGCAGCTTGGCGAGCCTAAAAATGCCCGGGGCAACGGACTTTAGACTTTAATGTATAACAAAAGTGAATTACCCAAAGAGAAATAGAAGCGAAACGTGACTTTTCTGCACAATGATACATTTGTAGTGTTCGGATACTTTTCACAACAACAACAACAACAACAGCCACAACATAACAATGAAATAAGCTAAACAAATAAAGTTGATAAACGAGCTCTTGCTCAATAAATACATTTGTGTCTTAAGGATACGTTTAAAGTGTTTCTCAAATACTTTTTGCATCTATAAATAAACCTTGCTTTCATTTGTAAAAGCGACAACAATTTGTGTGCTTGCATTTATGCAAACAGCAGCGCCAAATAGCAGAGGACAACCAGCTAAAATCAAATTCGAATTCAAATTTCAAACGCAAAATCCTCTAACGCATTTGCACCTGATAATTCAATTTTGTTTGTGTTTAATTTTTTTTTTTTTTTCAACTGTTCAATTCATTTGCAGAGAATTCACAATTGTCGCCAACGGAGCCGCACAGTCAGACAACAACAAATGGAACATGTTGATGCCGATGCTGGAATACAACAAACACATTGCCAAAATACCAAATTGCAAAATGAGGTCGCTTAGGGCGTGGATGCAGCAAATGCTGCTATTGCTGCTGCTGCTCTTTGGCCGCTGCGATGTCATCCGGGCGCTGGACAATGCAGCCGGCAACAGCAACAACAACAACGGCGGCGGCGGCAGCAGCATCGGTGGGTCCGGCTCTATTGTGGGCGCGGTTGGCACAGCATTAAGCGGACCACCAGGCGCACTGAATGCCAATCTCACGGATCTAGGCAGTCCCGGTGTGTATAATTCGACAAATGGTTTAATGCTAATTACATGTAGAGCAGCTGAGCTGTTTGGCTGTGAGCTCCCCAACCAAATTTGAGGCGACGCCGCCATTTTGGCCTGTTTCATCATGTGTGCGTAATACATTGTATATGTGTGTGCGTTAGTGAGCTGGTGTGTGTGTATTTTCTTGTGCGCATTTCCGGTTTCCGTTTCCGCCGTCCACTATCCGGCTGCCTTGGCAAAAAAAAAAAAAAAACTATTAGCCACTTTTAGCAAAATAACCACGCCCAGCCAGCCCAACTCTTATATACTTAACAGCTATGCTCAACGCACACACACACGCACACCCACACACACTCTAGCAAAACACTAAGCATCAATTAACCCAATTTTCAGAATCCATTTTCACCTGACTCGGGCGCTGCTCTCTGAGCTTTAGTTTTTTTCTCTATATACTTTTTCGAGCCACACTTCTTTCATGTTTTCTTTTCTTTTCTTTTATTTTATTTATTTTTTCTTAGTTCTTTTCCCATGCGGTGCAGGAATAGTGTATTTAGTTTTGCTGTCCTTTTCCGAAATATTTTTTACGTTTTTTTCCTGGCCAACAAATACTGTTTGTCCGTGTATTTCCTAGTTGAGATGTGGTTTGCTTATAGAGAAATTTGAAACGCTTTTAAGTGCTTAACGAAAAGTCTTCCAATACTTGAATATATTACACATATCTATACAAAATTTGTACTGAGAGTATAAATTTAATTTCTGCTTCAAAAAAATCTGAAACTCAAATCAATTTTTTCATAGTCTTATTAAAGTCATAAATGACTGCGTTCTGCTACAGGGTATCTGCTGGTCGGTCAGCATCGACTATAGCGCAGACTTATTCTACTGCACCACTACACCAAATCCCAAGTGGCGACGTCGCCATTCGCCGTTCGCCAAACTTTAATCCCAGAAACACCATCCATACATAGTATATAATGTGGCTTAGCCTGGGTGCCCCCTTGGCAGCTACTCTTGGTATTTGTTTTCTCTTTTTTTCTTTCTCTCTCTTTCGCAGGCGCTGACGTGTTTTGTTGTAGTTTGGTTTTGGTTTGGTCTGGAGGATTGGAACGTTTTGGAACGCCTTCGTGAAAGCTGCCAACGACAATAATAATAATAATAATAATAATTAATCTATTGACTTTAATTTGCAGTTTACTGAATAATGCACATAAATATTACAATTAATTTTTTCCAGCGTTTAACATTGCATATTTGAATAACCATAAAACGTAATATTCATCAAAATATTTTCTTTCATTTAATATATTGTTTTTCCGCATTATGCTCATTACAAATTGATGAGCTCGTAATCAGCGGCAAATATTTTAAATAATTTTTTAATTTCAGCTGCAAATATTTTTTTCAGGTTTCAGAGCTTTTGATTTGTTTTGCATTTAATCATAAATAATTTATGCTTACACATTTCACAGGCTCTGTGCGTGTTTCTATTAATCTACTTTTATAACTTGATAGAGTCAGCTTTCCCTTATCTCTAACATGCGGGTGACATTGGCCTAGGCAGCTGGAACGAAATGCAGTTCAAGAGACGTTTGATTGATTTGCTTGCCATCGTGGCATTCATCAACCCACATAGCTGGAAGCAGCTGCGGCAGATACTTTGGGATTACACTTGGGAGGATTGCCAAGTGGTAAGTTTTATTGGGTTCGCCCTTCAGCTATTCAAGTACAGCAGTTGACATACTTTTATGAATCTAGGTGGTTGCAATTTCATCAACTCATACGGGCTAGGCCTACTCGGAAGTCGACCATAAAGAATGTTAAGGCAACAAGGCAACAACTTGAAATGAAGGCATCTTTATATTACTTAACGTTAATTAGAAAACATATAAATACACGTACACGCTAAGAAAATATTTTGTTTTTCCTATTTTAATCATCGAAAACTGTATTACTGTAAAAATAATAATATAAAAAAACTATCCGATCTAAAAAATTTCTTGAAATGATAGACAACATAAATTAAAAAGTTTAACTTTTCTGGTTGTTAGCAAATTTATTTTGATTATTATGTTTATTGTTAAAGCAAACGCAATAAATAAATAATTTATTTTAAAAACAACATAGTCCTAAAAAGTTTCCTAGTGGCTTCGTGTTTAGTAAAAAATTATAAATAATAAATGAATAAATATTTAAGCAAATGTAAACATTATTTTTTTTATTTGTGGTTGGTTTGCAGTGAATACTCAATTACAAAATTGCCTTCAAGAGTCGATAAAAAGCCAAGTTTGTCCAAATCTATTATGAGATCAAAGATCTATATCGTCTTACCTTCTTTTCCATAGGGTGCTTAAAACAATTTCTTGTTACGCTGCACTCAACCGAACGGGGTGGGCAGGAAACGGACTGCAGGCAAATGCCTTTATAGATAACGTTCGGCCTACGCGACTGAAACCAAGAGAAACGTGTTTAAGGCCAACTTTTAGCCAGGCATTCGGCTGGGAGAGACGGAGTTTTATGCGTTCGCAGGCAGAGTGGAAAGCCAAACAAGGCACAGAGATCGATTGAAACGAAAGTGTTGATAAGCTGAGACCAAAAGATAAAGTCAATCAATCAACGGAGACAGCGTCTTTTTAAATTGACTTAATTATCTAGACTAGAGAGCCATTTTAATGGCTGATTTACATCGAAATTGGTAACTTAATATAGCAATTGCCTGCGAACAAAGCAGACACTTGGCTTATGAACATATTTGGAGCGCTCGGACAAGACAGTGAATGGCTTTTATTAACGAATTATACAAAATATTTGGACAGCGAAAACAATTTGCTGTGAATGACAACAAAAGGAGCATATTGAATTTCAATGGCCATTCAAAAGAAACTGGTTTATGGCCTAATCGCGGTTGATTTGTTGTGTCATTTGTTGGTGTTGCTTTTATTTGTTAAGAGTTAAGAGCATTTGAGAATTTATTGTTAAATTAGCTTGAAAATTGTCTGATCAATTTTCTAAGCGAAAACTTCTTGGCAAATTCCAGAGACTGCAGAAATACACAAAAACTTTCACGTTGCGTCCATTCGACATGCGCCATGCGCCATGCCCCATGCACCATTTGCCACTCTCAAAACTTGCCACACACAAAACTTGCACCCAAACAAATAGCTGGCCATAAGAAGTTGTTCAAATATTTATTTACTTTTTCAAGTTGTTGCTCCTTTCTGTATTTTACTTATATATATA